TTGTTTTGTTTTTTAGCATTTGGCTACATCAATGTGTGTGCCATAGGTTCGATTTAACCGAAACAGACAAATGAAAAACAGCAGTGAGCTTCATACTGAGAATATACTACTTAGCAGGAAATACAATCGGACTAGGAAGCTAGTATTTGAGAAAAGCAGGTTAGATTTTGCACATGGAATCAGCACAGCTCTGCTGATTCCCAAACGTATTTGTACAAAAATTTAAGTCTCCAGTATCACTGTATCACGTTTGGAAAATATCTGTTCGTAACTGCCCTCTGTGTAGGGCATCCTCTGAATTCATTCACTAAATGCAGCCTTTCACAATGTACGAGTATTTTCTGTTTATTTCAAGAAGCTTAGAGGCTGCAGAAAAGGTAAATCATTTGCTCATTAAGACTTGAGCCTTTTCCTCCCTTTTGTTTTTTAAGGCAAGACACGTTCCAAAGTGCCCAACACTGCTCTCCGAAGGCGCATGCAAGCTAACATACACAGCTTTAACACTGCCTGTTTCAATTTAAGCATCCAAAGACAGCTTTTAGCTACCAAAATATGCATCCAGTATCTGAAAGGGTCGTATGTCAGGAAACGAAGGTGGAATAAAAACCAAACAGGAGCAAAAACAGCTAGAGAGAAATTATAATCACGTTCCTGAAAGCATCGTATCATCAAATCCAGGCTGGTGTTCAATCAATGGGTTATCCCACGTGGCCGCTTGGTTTACATAGAAGTGGAAAAAAGAAGTTCAACAGCATATGCGGCACCTTCATAGAGATGGCTTCTTAGCACCTACTGACCAGCCACCTTTCGCAATAGCGAGCGCCGGGTCTCCTCCTTTTCAGGCTTCCTCAGCCTGCCACGCCACGGTTTTACTCTAACCCGAGAGATGGCGGGAGAGCGCAGCGCCGTCGTCTCGCTGCCAGGACAGAGAGGCCCATTCAGCCGCGCGCTCGCTCCGCACCGGGCGCGGCCCTTCGCAGCCGCTCCAGGGCACGGCACGCTGGAGCTCGGAGGAGCGACGGGAAGGCTCCTGCCCCCAGACCCGAGTGAGGGCTGCGGGCAGCGGCGCCCCGCCTGCGTCCCCCCGCGCGCACCCGGCCCGCGGTGAGGGGTCGCAGCGCCGGCATGGTCCCGCCCGCCGCCAAGATGGCCGAGGGCCAGCCCCACAATGCAGCCGTTCAGCCTCCCTCCGCGCTGCCTTGCCGGACGAAGCGGCAGGCTGAGGCTCGGTAACCCCCCGGCCGAGCTGGTGGGGACCCTCTTCTGCACGGCCGCGCTGGGCCGTAGGAGAGCGGCCCGCGGCAACAGGGCGCGGAGACCAAGGCGCCGGGCGCAGAACCTTCTGGTTGTGCGGGTCGGGCCCACGGTCCCCGACCGAGCTCGCGGCCCACCACCACAAGCCCGGTGAGGCGCGGCCACAGCCCCACACAGTGTAGAGGGCAAGATGGAGCCTCCCCAGCAAGACGGCTGGGAGCGACGGCCCACGGGGGCTGCCCCTCTCCCGGCCGCTCTATATCCGCTGTCCCGCCGGTACCTGCACAGCGGCGGAAAGCTTCGTGCTGGGAAGGCTGGCGTCAGCTCCGGAGCGAGCTGCTACGGGGCAGGCTCTGCGGACGTACACGGACGCTGCGCGGTACCCGGCCGCAAACAGCCGATGCTCCGCTCTCCTCACTGTCTCCCTCTAGCTCCTGCCGCTATTTAAGCAGTCGCCACCTCCGGCGGCCACGCCACATGGGCTGACAGTTTACTCCTCGCCGCAGTCCAATGAGAGCCGGGGCAGGGCCGCCCCGAGCCGGCCCCGGGGTGAAGCCAGCCCCTGCCCCCCAGAACCGCTCTACGGGAGGAGGGCTTCACAGGCCGAGGCGGACCCAGGCGGGCCCCCGTGCCGTGGCACCAGGCCAAGCCCTAGCTCCCCGCCCCGTACCGTGGAAGGCTGGGCGCTGCGGAGGGGGGGGGAGGCCTGGCTTTGGGCCAGCGCGGCTGGGGGCGAGGCAGCGCCGACTCACTGCGGGCGCGGCCCTCCTCGTGTCCCTCTCCCACCTCCCCGCGGGTGTTCACACTGGGGATTCAGTGCCGCGCCGGCACCACCGCTCGCGGGTGAAGGGGCAGGCGGGCCTGGCCCACGGAGCTCCCGCCCGCGCCAGCGACGCACAAAGGGAACGGGCTCTGGGCGGGGCGCGCCATCCAGGGACGGCGCCCAATCCGGAGGCGGAAGCGTGTGGGCGGGGGCGCGGCCCTGCCAATCGCGGGGCCCGTGGGGTGTTGCTAGGCGATAAGGCGATGTGGTGACGGCTGAGGGGACGGCTGGGGGCGCGCGCAGCAGCCGGCTCTCTCCGGAGGCCGCGGTCGTTCACCCCGGCGGAGCACGGTCCCGGGGTTACCACAGGGCAGCCCGCACGCCGGCCGGGGATGCGCTGCCCCGTGCCCGGGCCCGTCGCGGCGCCGTGACTGGCAGCAGCGGAGCAGGCCCGGAGGCGGGGCGCTGGCCGCCGCTCGCTCCCGCCGTGCCCCTGGTATGCCCCTTTCCAAAGGGCAGAAAAAGGGACGGTGGCTTTGCGTGAGGGCTCCTTTCATCCACTTTATACCTTACCCTGAGTGAATTAAAGCAAAACTAAACAAACGACTTTTGTTCTGTATTACCTACGACTGCAACTCCAACCCAAAAAAAGCCATCCCGCCTTTCGGTCAGCAAACGTGGACCCAGACGCTGGGATGCACTCACTCCATGGTGGAGGTTTAGCGGGAGATGTCCCTGCCCATGGCAGCGGGTTTTGAACTAGATGATCTTAAGGTCCTTTCCAACCCTAACTATTCTGTGATTCTATGCAGCCACCCCGCCATCGCTCATCTGGGGTTGAATACACTGGGTAAGGCCCCACTGCCATTGGTGCTTTACACTGCTGCCACAAAAGACAGCTTGACCCTGACCTTTTCTGGGTGGAACTTTTGCCTTTATCCATCTATTCCTCAGCACTATCATAGAGTTTTAACCCTTTGATAATAACAATCACCAGTTTACTCTGTTTTACCTTTTTAGTACTCTGTGATCAGCTAGAATTCCCTTTTTATAGGTTCTCTTTTTTCTACAATTCCCTACCATCTTCAGTACTCCCGTGTCACCACTCTTTTCTCATCTGGTTGCTAAAAATCAATGCCAATTTGCTAAATATTTCAGTCATAAGACAAATACATGAAAATTTCCCCCTTGTATTTAGTACACACTTAGCACAGCTCCCCAAAGAGGATTCATGCAATAGTTCATGTTATTTATTGTTATTAGGAATGCTTCGTTAATTTTCAGCATACTTATACACTGTATTCTTAGAGTTACTTTGAAACAAATGTACAACGATTGAGCTACTTTTTTTCTATCACAAGTAAAACAAAATGAAACAAGAGCTATCATCTTCCCTTACCTACAATTCCCTTAAGGAAACCTGTTTCTCAGAGAAACTGAATAAATTAAAGTTGCATTTCTGGCAAGATGTCTGCATGACCAGGCATGCTAGGTTATATGCTGGGGGGGGGGGGGGGGGGAGGGCATGTCACACAACCAAAACCCCTCAAAGAAGCAAACAAAATCCTTAAAAACCTCAAAGAAACCTGCACAAAGGCATTCTGAAGTCTGCAGCCCATGAGCTTGTATCCATGATGTAAGGAATGAAGAGCAATATTTTCCAGGATCAGAAGCAGTGTTGCAAAGATTGTGGAACAAACTGCTTTATTTTCTAAGGGCATACTGCTTTTAACACCTGTAAATGCACAGACTCTATTAGCACTGAAATACTGTGTATCTCCACACTTGAATATTGAACATGGTATTGGAAAATAAATTGGAAATTATTGAAAAAAAAAATCAGGATTATCTACAGCTATTCAAAACTTTGGAATTGACACATTGTGTTCCAGAATAACCAGAGAGAGCTGTAACTGGTGTGATCTGGGCCAAAATTCCTGCACTTGTTAGAAACCACTATGCTTTGAGCTACAGAAAGAGCTCATTCAGGGACTGGTTCAAGGGAATGCATCATGTTGTTCCGGCTTCTGAACAATGTTAAATGTTGAATTCAGCGACAGGATTTTCAAGTAATTAAATGATTTAGAAAGAAGCTCACAAGGTCTCTCAGGTGTCATATTTGCTTGGTAACGTCTCAATGAAATTCACTGTAGATTTAGCATCTGATTATCATATAGCACCTTTGCACTAAAACAAAACATTTTCAGCAGGGAGCAGAAAAATAATTATTAAAATTCTCAAAATAATTACTACCACTTTGCCAGATGCCAAAAAGAGCAGCTGTTTACGAAAAGAACCAGGAAAGCATTTCTAAAAGGAAAAGTGTGACAGGGAAAAAAAACCCAACCCGCTTATGGGTAAGTAGCTCTCTTCATTAATCTTGTTTGGATTTTATATGTTTTTAGCAGCAACTGAGAAATATTATTCACATCAGTGATACCACTCACAGAATCACAAAATCACTTAGTTGGACCTCTTGAGGTCACCTAGTCCAATCCCTCAGCAAAAGAGGGTCAGCGGGAATAGGCTGTCCAGGACTGTGTCTATTTGGTCCACAGATGGACCAAGAGATGGAGAATCCATAACCTCTCTGGGCAATCTGTTCCAGTGCTTGACCATCTTCACAGTAAATAAGTTTTTTCTTGCATTTTCAACATGTATTTCCTTTACTTTTAGTAAAGTTCATGTGTAATATCCCAAGTGTAATATCACAGTGTAGTGTAATATCACAGTTCAGTATAATAACCCAAGACAGCTCAATATTACTGTAAATGTTACAAAAATACACCAGTTACTTGTTTCAATGTCCTGGCATGTTTATATAGATAACCCTCATTACCTCAACTCATCCAAGTTTTCTTTTAGTTTCATCTGTTGTAAGACTTACATCTTACAATGCTTCTATATGATTCTAAGTGTTGCTAATGAACATGTTTTTCACTACTTTAAACTCTAGACAATCTCTTGTTAAATGAGAATATAATTACTGGTATAACAATAGAAGTTTAATTTTGTACTCTTTCATGCTATCTAAATAAATGGAAAAAGCTGCAGAAGATGAGAGAAAATATAGATTCAGGTGCCATCTTTTCAACCTCCCCTTCTTTCAAGTAGAGAGATAGCTGCACAGGATTAACGGTTGCATTGTTAATTATAAGAAAACCAGTAGGTTGAGGCATCCCACTTCTAAGCTTAAATCACATCTATAGTTTCTCAACAAAATATTTGCTAAAGACCTGCAAGCCCTGCTCAGAAGCACAAGGCTTTACATATGTATTAACTGGGCATTTCTAAATCCATGATGCAAGCATTATTTAACACATATAATTAAAGTAAATCTGTATTAACGAGTAATATACACAGATTAACCCTTTTTGTTCACAGTACGAAACATGGTATTTGTTCTATCTTCTGGCTGCAAACATCCCAACTCAACATAAAGAATTGAAGCTGATATTCAGATTTGATTTACAGATTTCAAAGTAAGTTAATAGCAAGTGTGGATCCAGAACTTGCTGACAACAAAGAAATCAGTCTTTAATATTATAGTTGCGGATTTTTGCCACCTTAGAAGAGATTTTTGGTTTTATGGGATAAGCATAAGAAAAATTCCTGGATTTTAGCTTCTGCTGAGCTTCCAGCCTGGTTCCTCTGATTGTCAAATCTGCAGCTGGCATTTCAAGTTTATCCTTGGCTTTGATATTTTGCTGAGATTCATCAGAATGTGTAACTTCAAGCTCCACTCCTCAAAAAAAGAAAGAAAAATATTTTGTAGTTATGTTCTTATGAGACTGGAAAATTGAAGAGTACTGGTTTATTCTTTTTTTCTAAATATACTGCTGCCATAGTGCCACACTGTCGAAGTCTTATACTGAGTGAGTAGCAGACCCATTTCTACATCCAGGGCCACAGAACTGTCCATTAGGGCTTGCTATGCTGATGATATACTGCTCAGTCCTTGTTTCATCTGTACCGGGTTCATTCTCCTTTAGCATCAGACTGCATAAGAGAGGAGAAGGGAAGACAGCTGGAAGGTTGGTCTAACTACTCAGGTCAAGCACTACCTCTGTGTTGAGATGTTTTTAAACACACAATTTTCACAAGTTTACCCTTCTCTCCGTTGTGAGAGAATATCTATATCCCCCAAAGCAATAACAACACACCAGACAACATGATACAAAGTTAGACCTACCTGTTCCCACATTGTGAAATAGCGATAAAGTAGCTGGCTGCAATAGTTTGATCTGTTTCAAGAAATGAGGAGCAGCCATAAAAGCTGTGGCAAACATGTTTGGGTATGCATGATCCAAAGGGCTCAAAGGCAGTTCTGTGGCTTGACAGAGTTGTACTATCATTTTCTCTTTGGTTTCTTTTTTTTTTTTTTCTCCTCTCTCCATCTTCTCTCACAGAGGGAGGCATTTACTGTGGAAATTTAAATTTTTGTTGTCTCGAATATCTGTGTATACTACGGAGGACTAAGTCAAAAAGTAACACTTCTGGTTGTGAAGCAGGGAGACTGGTCTTAATACCAATCGGGAGTCCATTCTGCACCCTCTCACTTAATTCTCTGAAAACCACTATCTCCAGCTAACTGAACTTTAGTCTTATCACAGGTTTTGTTAGGTAAAATCAGTGGAATTGGTCAATCACAATATTTACTGTAAGCTATAGGTAATGTTTACAGGTGCTTGGCTCCAGCCACTTAATCCTTATTTTTCAAGGCACTGAGATTTTAACTTTAGATTTCCTATGGAGAGACAAAGCAGACAGCAGAAGTTGATAACAGACTTGCTTAGGATACACTACAGCATACTGTACTACTTGAATTTCTTTGACCATGACAGGCTTCAGTCCCAGGAGCTATTCAATCACAGAGCAAGAATAAAAAGTGCACAAATTGAGAAAGATATTAGTAGGATAAGGCAAATCTTCATAGCCAGCAGAACATGACAGAAAGTCCAGACAAAATTCTGTGGAATTAATTAATCTTATTGAGGGTTTATAGCTCTATGCAAAGCTACTATGTTTAATGCTCTAAGCAAAGCACAGCACTGTCAAAACACAACACTTTTCAAAGCAGTTTTTACGTTCAGGCTTTCCTGGAAATAGCTGTTCACTCAGGTGTGTGTAGCCTCTGCAGTGAGTCAGCTTGATGGCGCTTGTTATTGCAGGTAGCCAATGCTTAGGGGAGTCGTGCTATTGATGTCGAATCATGTTGCTCAGCTCGCCACCTAGTGGCTACCTACAGATGGAGGTATGAAAGGGGATGCTTGAGCCCATGAAGACCTTTGGGTGTGTTTTTCTGCCTGGGAGAAAGGACTTTAATCATTATAATGCATTACCCTAGACCACTACCACATCTGGGAGATAGGAAAGCAGAATTTCACAACATCAACAGTTTAGAACAGTTCAGGCAGTGGTGTCTGAAAGGTACTGGACACAGCTTCAGAGACAATTTTGCCTCAACAGGAGCCACAGGGATACAGGTAGAGACCTTGTACAAGCAAAGTAAAATTTCCCCAGATGGAAAATTTCATTTAAAATACTTGTCACTAGATATTTGCTTATGGCTAACAGTGCTTCTAAAGGAGCACCAGCTCAAACAGGTTCCTATTCAGGAGAAGACCATTTAAATGAAGCAAATGTAACTAGGAGATTAGTTAATATTTGTGAAACACTTCAGAGATGAAGTTTTATGTAACGCAGAAAAGAAATCATGAGTCTAAATCTGATTGGAGCCCGAATGAAGCCAGAGCCAGAGCGCTCTTTCTGTTTGTTAATATTTTACTAGATTCTTTCTCTAGCCAGCTTTTTACCCACATGGATTGCTCTTAGAACTGTCAGTGATGTCAGAGCTGTTGAAATTCTGTCTAGTGTGGAAACACTTAAGATAACTCTTGATCCATACAGTGTATGGATTTCACATCACAGAGCCTTGCAAGTAATAATGAGAATTACAGTAAAAGATTCCCTATCTAAATTCAAGTAGTAAACCAGAAAAGTTACTTTGCTTCAAAGCAGCTCAATCTCATTCTTTGTTAGTCTACAATGTAAACTCAGATTTATACACCCAGGACTCAGCTGCATCTGTATCTGGGGGTTCTCAAAACGCACAGTGGGACCATCCACCACAACTGGAGACCTCCTCTGGCATGGAAAATACAGAGTTTCATCTACCCCAAAAATGTATGAAACGAGACGAGTGAGGACATTCTAAGTGTAGATACAGCTTGCCTTATGCCCTTATTTGTTCTGTACTGACCCCAGCCTCTGTTGACCTGAGGAGATACAGCTGATCAGGAGCTTTTCACATGGTACCACAAAGCACACTTCACAATATTGGCTACATTCTAACTGCAGTTTACAGTTGAACTTCAATAGGTGATGTTCACCTTTTCTTCCAGAAAAACTAGCAAGTTTCTCCAGTAGGAAGTAAAAACTTGATTAAGCCAAATTATTTGAAGAAAAATAAATTCCAGTTTTCTAAATGTTTTACAAAGCTTCCTCTCCTCTTGTCTAACATTTATTTCTAAAATCAAAACAGGTCCTGTAGCCCACATGTGAATAGAGAAACCTTGCAGCATTTACAGAAGCTATCACATGGTTGTACACGTGTCGTGGTTTTCACAGGAAAGAGTGTAACTTCTCTGAGAAGAAACTTTCTTTTGAGGATGGCCTGTCAACAGCATTCAAGATGCATGTGATACAGATCACCAACTAAAGTCTCCCACCTGCTCTCAAACTCTGGGATAGGACATATAAAAAGGAAAGATACAGATATGTATTTCTTACTAGTAGAGTCTATGCATGTAACACTGACGCTTTTAGTATCAGTGTGGCTTGTACCTGCCTACCTCTGCAGCAGGATCATTTTCTTTCAACAGCACAGAGCAATAAAAACACCTGAACAAAGAACCTGTGATCCTTGTAAACCCTTTCTTTCTACTTATCTGCAGAATTATCATACAAATTATTAAATCCATCTCATTCCTAAAGTACAAACAAAAAATCAGCAGGTAGGGCAAGGAAAGAGAAATCTTTCATAGCCTTCTGACTGCTTAGAAGCTTCCAAAAGTTCCAAATTCTATGGTGAAATGAATGAAGTATGTAACAGTCCACTTCAGTAAGTCAGTGCTAACATGCAGTCACAAATACTTTAAGAACCATCAAGTTGTGTCTTATGCTGGAAATACAGCAAATTGCAGGGCTTACTTGACATGCCAGCAATTTCAGGTCCCAATAGGCTACTTTGTACATGAAAAACAATTAATGAAGCTGTTTAACAGGTTCAGAAAAATCATTCTCACACTACCATTGTTTCTGTTTCACCAGAAATGCCCATAAACCACAACTACTGGTGTGACAGATTTGTAGAGTTGAACTTGTAAAAAATGTTTGAATAAGCAAACTAACTTGTTGCAAAACACTTTTTTGTTACTGAGCTTTCAAGTCTATGTGCGTGTCCCTTGTATCTGGAAGTCCAATACCAAGTCACTCCATCTTAATGACAGTTATACGCACAGTAACCATGGTTTTGATAAATGTATTAAATTCAAGTGAGTGGTTTCAAAAAGGAAATATTTTAATCTTTTTCCATAGCTCAGGCATGAAAAATAAGGCAAGCCTTTGATAAAAATCAGAAGCAGAAATCCTTGAAAAAATCTTATATTCTGAGGTGAGATTCTTCCAAAAAAGATTTTGCTTTCACAATCTTGTTTCTAAAATGCAGAATTCAGTCTAGTAGAATTACGGATACCATTTGGATGGTTTCCTAGAGGAGAAAGCTAAGCAACATAAAAGACTTTTTAAAAGTGCTATTCCTGCAATGCAGTATTTCAGGGCCTGTATGTTTGACCGAGAAGCACCACTCTAGTATTCTTAGGGTAAATCTGGATGCAGAGATCAAATTCAGGTTGTTCTCAGGAAAATATCCCCCCTTATTGATGTTTCACTTGTTTCATGTTGGCAGTATTATCTTTTCACTTTGCCATTCTCTAGATCCCCAAATATCTACAGTATGTTTTGCAATGGTGGCTGGAAATTTCTAGACATTAAGAAACTGATGTCCTTGTAAGGCTGCCAGTGGTGTTGCATCACTTACCAGCAGCATGAAACTGCATGACACTATCAGTAATGTTTCAAAGACATCCTTTTGCTTATCCTGTCAATATAGGCCTGACCTGAAATACTCTTCCTATTACAGTCCCACAGAAAAGCACATGAATCATGACTGCCAGCACTACGTCCATTCCAGTCCTACAGGTCTGTCAATGCACGTTACTTTGCCCCTGCAATGAACTGCTGCTGTGAATAAATACACTTATAATCCATTCTTCATTTTGAAAGAGCTTTTAAATATTTTTTTCTTGTATGCTGCTAAAGATGGTTCATTGCATCCATACACTGGTTTAAAACTAGATTCAATGTAGGTTGGAAAGAACCTCTGGGTGAAATGTCACAGTGCTTATGACTCCCTGCTCAGAATGCATCTTGGCACACTTGCGTCCCTTGCCTCTTTTCACTGTCCATCTCAGAGTCTAGCTTTGTTGTCTCCAAAATCCCTCACTGGGTAGTTAAAAAGCAGCAATCGGGCCACCCACTGTCTCTTTCTTTTTCACACTGAATAACCCAGCTTTTCTCAAGTAACATGTGTTTCAGCACTGTAGCCATCTTAGACACTCTTCACTAAACCCTAGTTCATCAGTCCTTTGTGCCGGAGTCCAAAATGGGACACAGTACTCCAGATGTGGCCTCACAAGTACTGAATAGAAGGGAACAAATCACTTCCCTTAACCCACTGGTTGTATCCTTGCTCCTGCACTCTGGTTAATGGCACTTGAGTATCTATGTTATGTTAACAGGTCACTATTAATATGAAGCTCATTTGAAAGTTATTAAATGGCTGACATATAACCCCAAAGCTGCCATCAGATCTCAGGAATAATGATGATGATAAAAAATATCAAAACAAAAAACCCTAAACAATTCACACATGCCCCACAGCACTGTAAGAAACAACTTACTGAATGCTGTGTCTCTTATGAAAAAATGAAAGTCACCTGTACTTGGAACATTCTGGAGAAATGTTTATCCATCTGTTTATAAAGACCTTTAATAAGAAAGAGTCCACAATACTTCTGGGGAACACTTCATTATTAGCCATCCTTTAAGTTTTTCCAGTATTATAATTTAAGGCCATTACTTTTTGTCCCATCCACAGGAGTTTTCCAAAGTTTTGCTGATGATGAATTACTTCATGAACATGCCAAAAGTTTGGGAGACATGACAGTCACCTGCAATACACTACTTAAGATAATGACTACCAATAAAAAGTTTCCTTTCCATTTGCCTGTGAAAAAGCTACAGTTTACTGCACATACCTTACAAGTGGCACTTCTGCTAAAATTCCCTATTGGACTATACAATTCTAGTGAATAACAATGCCTAGCTCACTGTGTGTCCACAGCATATACCACATTATGCCCACGATCTCACCTTTGGCCTTTGGGTCTTAGCATACTAAGCAGTGTTGTAGCTATTAACATGACACAAAAATAATGATTGAGCAAGGATTTGCCAAATTACAATTTGATCCATCAGTCACTTGGCAACATACAAAGTGTGCAGTTCTCAGACAGATGCTTTCATATCTGCCCCAGATAAGTTTTAGACTTTATCAAAACAGAAGAATATTTGCATTTTCCAGGAGTATTTAATAAAAGGGGTGAAGTATTTGCAACAATGGCATTAAAACCATTGAGAGATACATATGTGTTCCTCTTAATTCTTACTACTGCTTGCAACTGTAAAATTCACTTCAAGTAAACTCATTAGATCTTCAGATTCTGATTACAGGACTGTAACAACAGTAGCAGTCATGTAAAAATTTTGTGGAAGGTGGCAGAATCTGCTACCGTACTTCCATTATTCTGGAAGAGTCAAGTACTGTTAATTACTTTATAAAACATGCTTAGGTTGGTGACTGTTCTAGGGACTGCGAACAGAGGGGCTTGATCCCTTTTCTAAAGTTTGCCACATACCTTGACAGAAATTATGTGCTCTAGATGAAGAAAGCTGGACCTGCAGGGCTTGACTAGGACTCTGCCTGGGTGGCTGACTTTGAACAATCTTTAAGAATGTATCTGCCTTTTGTTGCTTTGGCCCATGATTTTCAATGGACAAATCTAGTTGAACCTGTTCAAATTCAAACACACTCTTACAGAGATGCATACTTTTCATGTCAAATACATGTGAAAATTGGCATCTTGGTCTTGGGAAGATAGAAAGTTTCAGCAAGAGGCAAGTCAAAAGAAAATTATTATTTTTAATTTTGAAAGTTCATACAAGAAGATTAATTACAACATCATGAAAGTGACTGAGAAACCCACGTTTAGTAAGTGTTAACAAATACTATTTTCTACAGGAACAATGCATAATTAAAAAAAAAAAGCATATATTTTTAAGTCTTCCAGGAGATGACTGCTGAACAAATGCAATTGAAAATTCCAACTGAAGGCAAATTACACTGATGATAAAACTACACTGTACCTCAGTGGATGGTAATGTCATCTTTTCCCCACATCCGCTTGGAGCTTCTTCATCCTTTAAGCGAGAGCAGACAATTAGAGAAGATATCCTTGAGGGATGCTGTTGCTTTGCATACTGCAGCTCCTAATATGAAATAGTACATCAAGACAAGTAATCCATGGTCTCTAAAAATAATACATCTATAGCTCAGTTTACTGTTACACTGCTAGATTTAAAATAATCAGTCATATAAAAAATAATATTTTATATATATTTTTATATATAAATAATATATATATTACTTATATAATAAATAAAATAATCAAATAATATTAAACAGAATTATTTTCCATTTAGATTAACATGGCCAAACTACCTTCCTAATAAACCTCTTACTAGATCTGTTAAAAATCTACATTTCTTGCTGCTGTCACGGTCATCCTGCTTGTTACTCAAGTTTACATTGTCACTCTTCCTTTTGTGACTGAGGGTCACTTCCCCTTTTTGTCTTTTTCAGTGATTAAAATACAGATGAAAACTCCAAAGGAAGTCCTAAAAACCCCATAAATAATATAAATCAGCTATGGAAAAGAAACTTGTAAGCAAGCAAAATACCCTAATTCACCAACTTTCAACATGGTGTCCCTCAGGGATCAGTATTGGGACTGGTCTTGTTCAACATCTTCGTCGTTGACATGGACAGTGGGATTGAGTGTGCCCTCAGCAAGTTTGCCGATGACACCAAGCTGTCTGGTTCGGTTGATACGCTGGAGGGAAGGAATGCCATCCAGAGGGACCTCGACACACTTGTGAGGTGGGCTGATGCCAACCACACCATGCCAAATGCAAGGTCCTACACCTGGGTTGGAGCAATCCCAGGCCCAGCTACAGGTTGGGCAGAGAAGAGATTCAGAGCAGCCCTGCGGAGAAGGACTTGGGGGTGCTGGTCAATGAGAAAATGAACATGAGCCGGCTGCAGTGTGCGCTTGCAGCCCAGAAACCACCGTACCCTGGGCTGCATCAAAAGGAGTGTGACCAGCAGGTCCAAGGAGGCGATCCTGCCCCTCTACTCTGCTCTCGTGAGACCTCACCTGGATTACTGTGTGCAGTTTTGGTGTCCTCAACACAAAAAGGCCATGGAACTGTTGGAACAAGTCCAGAGGAGGCCACGAGGATGATCAGGGGACTGGAGCACCTCCCATATGAAGACAGGCTGAGAAAGCTGGGGCTGTTCAGCCTGAAGAAGAGAAGGCTGCATGGAGACCTCATAGCAGCCTTCCAGTACCTGAAGGGGGCCTATAGGGATGTGGGGGAGGGACTCTTCATTAGGGACTGTAGTGACAGGACAAGGGGTAATGGGTTAAAACTTAAACAGGGGAAATTTAGATTGGATATAAGGAGGAAATTATTTCCTGTTAGGGTGGTGAGGCACTGGAATGGGTTGTCCAGGGAGGCTGTGAATGCTCCATCCCTGGCAGTGTTCAAGACCAGGTTGGATGAGGCCTTGGGAGATATGGTTTAGTGGGAGGTGTCCCTGCCCTTGGCAGGGAGGAGTGGAACTGCACGATCTTAAGGTCCTTACCAACCCTAACTATTCTATGATTCTATTCTATCATTCTATGAAGCAATTAAAGTAAGATTTGGAATTTTACAAGAGGTTTAAGATCTCCTTCAGCCTTGTCAAAGGAGATGAAAATAAACATCAGTCTTTTGATATGTATTTCAAACTAAAGAGAAGCAGAAAACTGGAGCCCATCATACAAAGTAACTGACACTGAAATTCCTGAAGGTATGACAGTAATAAATTCTGGTTTTGGTAAGGATGATGACGTTGAACATAAGAGCAAACATAGCTTGGCTAGTAAGTGTGATTACCTAGAAGGAAAAACACCGAAAACGATGTTTGGAAGCTCAACCTGGATCTCAGCTTCAGAGCAGGAGCTGAAACCTCAGCAGGTATCTTGTAGGTAAAGAGCAGCCTGGAATGAGAATACTGAAGATGAACAGCTTGGATATAAAAAGGGCTACCCTTTATAGTCTGGACAAGTTCCAGCAGAAACAGAGATAATACCAAAGGTTCCAGAGCTGGAAAGATCCTCAATTATAGCCACTTCAACCATGACTTCCAAACAACCCATGAGCTGAAGAGGTTGGAATTCTACTCCTGGAGTTTAGCACACCATCTGGAAACTCAACAGTCAAATGCTACCTCTGCAAGAGCCATGGACACATTGCATTTTTAGAATCTATTTATTCTTACAAAAGCAAGAACAATCTTCAATGATTTTAAAAAGAACATGAGAGACACACTATGTCAAAAAAACAGCAGACACAGTACTTAGCTCATTAAAAATAAGGCAAGACTGGGATGGATGGGCAATGAATATTTATTTGTCTCAATTTAAAAGTCATCTAAATTCTAAGATGACTTGGGAAATAAAGAAAAATTAAAGAGGTGGAAAATGAAACAAAAATTATTAACACCCCCCCCCCCCAAAAAAAAGCAAACAAAAAACCTAGAAACCAACCAAAAAAAAAAGAGGGTTTTGAATTGTGGCAATTTTGCCCACATCTGGAAATCATTTTTACATATGATTTGCATAAGCATTTAGCTAATCGTTTTCAGACTCAATCCAAGCAGTGCACAGATGAAACAAGCAGGCTACAAAAAGTCTACTCAAATGCTTTGCTGGACCCTAATCTTTGAAAAATTTACTCCCAGTGTTAAGTGTTTAATAGCTTAAGAAAGAGTTTAGTGAACTGAAAGTTCAAGTAAACAAGGATACCAAGCTTGTGACTTTAAATTAGTAAAATGTTCACAAGCATCCTGAACAAATTACACATCCACAAGCACACTGAGGCATTCCACAGTAAATCCACCTGTTGGCAGACCACTTTCCAGGCTTCCAGCACACTAACAGCTGCCCCACCTATTTCCTTCTGAATCCCTGAAAAAGGGAGATCAGAATCATATGCTCAGGACTGTTGTCTAGGACTGGAGCTGACTTTTTCACTTTGGAATTTTGCAAGAGCCTTAAGATCTGCTGCTCCAGAAGTAGCCAATACTACTGTCCCATAATACATACCACTGATCTGCCAGCAAACGGCATTTATTTAATGCGCCCTGATCCTTTCCTCTAAGGACCCCTTCCTCACGCTACAAGATGCTAATACTTATTGTAACAGTGCTGCTGTGATAGCTCTTGATCAGGTCCTCAGATGGTCAAAAAAGAGTTGCAAAATAGTGCTGCATTCCCAGATCTGTTCTCACAGAGCTCATATGCTTTGAGCATTCCCAGTCTTGGAAGCCAGATGGCTTTCACTATGATATTTACGGACTAGCATCTTTGAAGCCTTCCATAACACTTTTGATTTAAAAAGAATTTGATTAGGTAAATTGGGTAAAATATACCAGATTATCCAGCTTGCACTGCACTTATCTGACTGACCTATTACAGTCTTGAGTTTCTGTTATCTTAGACTATCTATGAATAAGTCTCCATTAGCTCTGTAAGGGTACAGCAGATGGCATTCTCAGTTCATCGCTGTCTGCTGGATGGTTTACAATGTTTGCTCACACCACAACCTTTAAAACTTCTTCACTGACTAACGGGCAGTAAAGAAGAACAGGGGCTTATTTTCACTTAAGCAATATGCTCAAATTTGGTTCTAACTAGCTCTGACAGCATAGCATTTTGGACTTCAGGCAACCTTTCTCTATCAAACAGGAGTGCCCTTCCTGTTGGTTGTCTTCTGCCAGGAAGAAGCTAAGAGAAATTCAAGCACCTGTGGTAGGATCTCAAACTCAAAAGAGTTCTTCCCTGCCAGGTTTCCTTAGAACATATTCCATAATGTTGCCATAGATTCTATCTGATAGATTCACCTTAGCCAAGAAACATGCACCAATTTTCTTCCCAAAATAATATGCCTTTCCCGGCTGAAATGCTGCTGCATACTTTGGATGCTTGGAGAGCCTTTTCATATTCAAACAGGCATCACCTGTTTTTACTACTCTTCATTATCCAAGAGAATAGCAATCTTGTGCAGAAGCTGGATAACTGTCTGCCTAAAGACCTAAGAGCAGAACACTGAACTTGACCTTGAGAGCACTTGCTCTCAAATTTAATTGCTGGATGACCTCTGCATTTCAACTTTCTGCACTATTTTCTAAAATCTAGAATCTGACCCAGAAGTTTGTGTCATTAGTGCAGCTAAGAGCCCTCATGGCTAATCTGCAGCACCATGTTAATCCACAGGAAAAAATACCAAACATTTATTTTCAGCAGAGCTGAACTGCAAACTGAAAGTGTGTCATTCCAGACATGCAGCTGGTTAAATTAGCACCATCTGAGTTCCTTAATCTTAATTTACCTAATTAAAAGCATTTATTCTAAGCAACTAGAGAGGTTAATATATTTTTTTTTCTTTAACACCATTTTTAACTGTAAGAAAAATCAAATATTCATTAGAACTTACTTCCACTGGGTCTTTTATGAAACCCACTTTTGTAATTCAAACTGTCAGGCCAGGTGGCTCATATTCTTTGTAATACACTTAAGACAACCAGATAACATCTACAGAAATCAGTGATAATTTCAGGCTCAAAAAAAGCCCAAACCAAACAACAGGATGGCATGCTCGAAACAAGTATGTAGTTATTCTTTCTTATTTTTTTAGAATGTGTCTAGATGTAAAAATGCTTAAGATGTTTTTCAAATGGGTTCTGATGGCAAAATCTTCAAGTGACTGACAGTTGCGATTTCTTAGTGCAACCTGACATGATAGGATTATCTCCTGTGTAGTTTCATATTATCACAGATATCTTAGTATGTAAAAAGAGAAACATGAAACTTCAATCTCCTATACATTCCTGGATGAGTAATTCACAAAAAGGCTCTCAATCTGTGCTTGATTTCAGTTAAGAGAAATAAGACTGCATAAAGAAAGATTAAAAACAAACAGGATTGTCCAGAGGAAATAAGCTTTAATTCAGCTGAGTTTTCCCCAAAGGCAGAGGAGATTGCAGCTTCAATCTAATAGGCTGACTTCTTGGAAAGTGGCTCAGGAGAAACACAGGAAACCTGGTAGACTACAAGTTGAACATGATGCAGCAATGCATTTGTGAGGCTTCTGGCCAACAGCATCCTGGGCTGCGTCAGGAAAAGCACTGCCAGCAGGCCAAGGGAGGTGATTACTTCCTTCTACCAAGCACTGGTGCAACCACATTTAGAGTATTGTGTTCACTTTTGGGCTCCCCAGTACCAGACATAGAGATACAGGAGCAAGTCCAACAAAGAGCCACAAAGATGAGCAGTGAATTGGAGCATCTGACATACTAGGAGAGGATAGGGAAGCTGGCCTTCTTTAGCCTCCAGAAGAGAGAGGGCAGGAGTGATCTTTTCAACATGTATAAGCACTTGATGCAGATGGTGGGAGGAAGTAAAGATGACTAAGGCAGACTTTTCTTAGTGATGTACAGTGGAAGACCAAGAGGCAATGGGCAGAAGCTCAAGTACAGGACACTGTTTAAGGATAAGGGGAGAAAAACCAAAAACAACCACCAAACCCAAACCAAAAAACCAAACTCTAACCTTCTTTACTGGGAGGGTGATCAAACACTGGAACAAGCTGCCCAGAGATGTTCCCAGAGGAAGTATTTCCCCAGCTGAACTTGGTTAGTAATTCTACTGGAGTTTCATACATTGGAGCAACAACCTCACTTTTTCTGAAAGAACATTCTTTACTGCTCTCAAAACTACAACAATCAGCTGCTTTGACTCAATCCTCACAGGAACAAATCAGCTGATCAAGTAAGTAAAGTACATAGTGAAATCCTGATTATTGAAGTTACTGGGAAATCTGCCACTAACTACTAAGGGAGCAATGATTTATCCATTTGTCTCTCTGATGAAAGCTGCAATTTATCCATTAAAAAGTTGTATTCTAATTACAAAAGATAAGAGAGCGGTTAATTACATAGCCTGCTTTCATAGATGGAAAATGTGCTATTACAATAATGTGGACAAGGGTGCTTTAAAATCCCACCACTGTGGACATTTAAAAATGTGCTGATTAATCAATTTCAAGTTTATCTTAGAACCCACTACAAATCCTTCAAATGGTTACCTTACTTATTTAAAGCTAAGCTTTATGAAACTAATACTTGTAATTCAGGATTGCATTTATGCTGCATTAACCAAGTGTTTCTGAAATTCCTTGGATGAAAATCATGTTTAAAAAAGTTAATTTTGGAGTCCCAACTATAACCCTTTAAGTAAATGAGATAGCATCTGCCTAGCAACCAGTCACCAATGGTGTTTCCCAGGGCTCAATTTTAGAGCCAGTTCTCTTCAATGTTTTTATCAATAACCTGAACACAGGAATCGAGTGCACACTAAGCAAGTTTGCCAATGGTACTAAACTAGGAGGACTTGCTGATTCCCTTCAAGATAGAGAGACCTTACAGAGAGATCTCGATAGACTGGAGCACTCGGCAATCACCAGCTATATGAAATTTAAGAAGAGGAAATGCTGAATTCTGCACCTGGAATTACCAGTGTAATCCTGGATGTCTGTATACACTGGGAGACAAGAGGCTGGAAAGCAGCCCTGCAGAAAGGGATCTGAGGGTTCTGGTTGATGGTAAACTCAGTATGAGTCAATGGTGTACCCTGGTGGCCAAAAAGGCCAACCATATCTTGGGGTGCAATGGGCACAGTACAGCCTGGTCAAAGGAGAGATTGTCCTGCTATACCTAGCATCAGTGTGGCCTCCCTTTGAGTACTGTGTGCAGTTTTGAACTCCACAATATGAGGAGTACATAGAAATATTAGAATGTGTCCAAAGGAGGGGAACAAAGGTAGTGAAAGGACTAGAAGGTAAGATTTATAAGGAGCAGCTGAGGATACTTGGCTTGCTCAGCTTGGAAAAAAGAAGACTGAGGAATACCTCATTGCTGTCTACAACCTCATCATGAGGGGGAGCAGAGAGGGAGGTGCTGATCTCTTCCTTCTGGTGTCTGTGCTGGGATGCAAGGGAATGGCTTAAAGCTTCATGCAGGCTGCATATTAGTCCCAAGTTCTTCCTTGAGAAGTGTGGTCAAGCACTAGAACAAGGTCCCCAAGGACTGGTCACGATCCCAAACCTGTCAATGTTCAAGAAGCATTTGGACAATCCTCTTAGATACAAGTTTTAAATTCTAGGTTGCCCTGTGTGGAGCCAGGACTAACAGATCACCATGGGTCCCTTCCAGCTCAGGATATTCTATGATTCTATGAAATCTTCTAAGGTACCAAAGGAAACTCTGAGCTAAAGTCAGTAAAAGATATTTAAATACAGAATTTTAAGGAAAGTTCTATTCATGGAATTACAACTGGCTTAACTGCTCATTATCACTAGATTTAAAGAGCATATTATTACCTGTGTTGTAAGCCTGTGCTGTAGATGCTTTAAAGCTGATAGCTGACACTGTATTCTTTTGACAAGCTCTCTTGGAAAAAGGCTACCAGATACAACACAAACTGTGCAGCGCTTAGAGCTAACAGGATGCAAAAGTCCTATAAAGGAGAGAAAATACTAAGGAAGACATTCTCTGTTGTTGTCATCAATATTACATTCCCAGCCAATGTTTATAGTGGATATCAGTGAAACACAATACACGCCTTCTCATTGCAGACGGAATCAATGCTATACAGAAATGGGCCTTGTGTTTTTCTCCTTTGCTTCTTTGCCAGAGCAATGGTTGAATGGAACTTAAATGTCCACAGTGAAATCTTCTTACATTATGTATACTCTTGATTCAAGTTTACTCTATAGTAAGCTTATTCTACTTTCTTTTCCACTTTCATAAAGCATTAGTTTTTATTCCAAGGGATAAACTACTTCTTTTCTGCCCTTGAAAGAAGTCTTAATTCAATTTCTATTTCCCACACTGACATCTGAGCACCAGGGAGTCCTTCATCTAAGATGCTCATCAGCAAAAGTTACTGCCTACAGGCTCTTATTGTTCTGTGCTAGTACCTCCTATCACAGAATGGTCCTTCTTGCAACAATTAGCACCACAGTCTCACAGAAATTATACCGATCAAGAATCGGTCAGGTCCAGCACTTTGTCATCATATTAAAGCTCAAAGGATGAACTGATTCCCAGGTTTTATTCTAAGTACATAAGCTTGCACTCTTCTGTAGAATAAATTTACCTTCCTTTAATACTGTTCTGAGTTCTGCCCTGAGTCCATTTCCTATTTCAATCAGCTGCTGCTTCTCCTCACTCAGAATAGAAATTTGTCTTGCTGCTTCCTGCAGTTTATTTTGCACTCCTTGTAGAGTGCCGCTGACACCATACCAAAGACCGACACCAGGACCTATGTCAGGAAACTGTTGCTCAAGATCTACCATCTTTTGTTCAATAACTTCGGCTTTTGGCCCCTGGAAAAAGACAGATAGTGTTTATAATGAATATTTTGATACTGAAGTCCGTAGGTTTAGAAATTTCTACAAGCACACACTAGAAGCCAGTTGAAGAAAAAGTGTAAAGTTGAAATCTATAGGCATTTTTGAGGGTCCGTTTTCAGAATTTTCTTCACAATAGAGGGCAAATGAAACCCACTCTTAGCAATATAGGGCAAAACACGGTAACAGCCTGGGATGTTCCCACAGATGTTGTTAACTGTAAGTGTAAAGTAATATACATAGGATAAACACTGTATAAGAGTAAACTAGAGAGCAGTTAATTTTACAATAAAATGTGGAAAAGGCACTTTACTGCAGATGGCAAACTATCACAAACCCTTCTCTGTATAAGCATTGCATGCATACACACATGAGGTAAATACAACCTAAAACATTATTTTTTAAGAGAAAGGCTGAAGAGTAAAAAGTACAGATTCTAAAAATGGTTTGTCTCTGCAAATTTAATTGTGTTTATGTGCAGATATATATTATGATAAAATATTTACCCAAAAGACCCAATCACCATTGCCTTAGTGGGTCATGCAACTCCCATTCTCTTATTTCTTTGGATAGTTTTACCAGAAAAGAGGAAGCCCTTTAGAACACTCATGGAAAGCATACAGGTACACAAACACTATGTGGCAGAAAGGTGGAGAAATTACTGCAGGACTAGAATATAAAAACATGAAGGTACCAAGGTGAAAGAAAAAAAGAACACCACTTTGGTGTACATACAGCAATTTACACCAAAGCAGACACAAATTATTACATTCGACTCTCATCATATGAACTGTTAAATTAACACACTGAAACTCAACATAAAAAGAGGTCAAGGCAGTGACCAATTAACAGTACCACTGGTTGTCATACCATGTACCATCTTCACTGTACCAAGATGCAAAAGCACATCACAGAGCTGTGGGAGGAATACCATTTGCTTAAGCTTCTATTTTTCCTGAATTTTTCTTAAAAACATTCAGCAGCATTACACAGAAGATTTTTTTTTCAGGTGAGAGGTTGTACACTGTAGAGTTAGGAGTTGAACTCAGAAATCTTTCTACCTTTAGCTCCATGCCCAGAGTAAAACTCTACAATACAAAAGAGAGAAAACACAGAAAAGCTGGTACTAAAAAATGGTGAGAGGAAAAACGCTCCTCAGAGTTGATACAAAAGGAAGAGAAGAAAAAATCACATGCATGTAATAATCTACATGCCTATTTTACTAGTTTCCACATAAACTTTCCTCTTCTTTAGCTACTTTTTAGCTCTATAGTAATTTTGATATTATGGTCCCAGAACCTCTGTTATATTAAATGAGAAAAAAACCCTATCATTATAGCTCTTCATATTGACTCCATATCTGCTCCCCCATTTTTAGCTACCACTATTGCTCAACAGATTCTAAACTCCCCAAGCTAGGGATATTTTTGCATGTAATTCACCATGGCCTTAAGAGCATGTAATTAATAAATGGTAAATGGAAGCAGCACAGAGACAGTATAGAAAAATATTAAGAGATAAGCACTTCTAATATGCAGTAAGGAATTCTGATGAAGTTTTGCCAATTGTTTGTAACAGAACTGTTTCCAGTTGCCAGTCTATGCCTAAGAAGGCTTGCTATGTACCAAGGAAGAAGAAATAAAGCAGTCAGCAGAAATACAGGAAATGACAGCTCAGCATCAGTGAAGACAGCATTAACTACAATTCCAGCATTTTGTTCATTTCGAGTTTTGGTCTGCACATCTGCTATTTACTACATGCCTGTATATATAAAGCACACGTGATTCAGCATTTCACACACAAGATGCACACTGCTGCCTGAAAAAATGTTCTCATATCTGGCCCTGAGCACTGAATTACAGTTTAGCAAAGGATTAATCTCTGTCATAGAGAATGTTCCATTCCTATCTTACCGTCTCCAACGCAAAGCCACTCCCTACTTTTCTTTTAAGGCTATATCCCCACTTAAAGAAATGTGAAGAAAATAAGAATGCATCTTCGACAGTCATTCATAAAATGTTTACAGCAACAGAAAAGAATAGATGGTATAAGATTAAATTTTCACCTAGTTCTGGAAGTGGCCAAAAAGAAAACATAAATCTATGTTGTCTACACTGCCACACACTGATTTGCTAACTATAATTTGACAGCAGGAACGAACAGATCTCCTTCTATGTTCAGTAAAAAGATAAAACTAAGATTAAACATGATCTGTGCCTGGTGGCTTGTGCATGTTTTCACACAAGGTTCCCAAGGCCCCACAATTTTGTTTGATCATTGGTATTACTTCAGCTCTTAAAGCTCTTAGTTTTAACGCCCACAAAATCACCAGGCCTGGAAGGGACCTCTGGAGATTATCCAGTCCAACCTGCCCTTAAGGCAGGGCCACCTAGAGCAGGTCACACAGGAACCATCCCGGGTAGGTTTGGAATGCCTCCAGAGAGAGAGGCTCCACCTCTCATCCTTGTTTATTACCTGGCTATTATTTCCATTTTCTTGAACTTAGATGGTTACTGGTGAGTCTTAACAGTAAGAATAAAGCATGCAACTTCTATGGGTAGATCTTACAGATTACCTCAAAATTAGAAATCCCTTATTTTTTCATTGTATTTTAACCTATCATACATGAGACTCCATTTACTACACCATGAAGTTCCTGGGAGACAGAAGGGGAGAACATACAGTGACTTAAGCCTTATGTAGTATTCGATATTTGTCCCAGTCTTCAATTCCTGTATTACTTTTTCAGACAGACGCCTGTTGCAAGTTAACGCCGATGTCGGTCCTGCCCTTTACAGCAGCGCGATGGGAATGACATTGCGAGCCCTGGAGCCGTGTGAGGGCGCTCCAGCGCCAGCGAGCCCCTCGCCCGCACTCGCTGCAGGTGGCTGGCGCTCCCTAGCGGGGCCTGTGAGGGAGCAGGGCTCGGCAGCTCCTGCCCGCCCGCGGGGACACGGCTCCCGCGCGTCCTCCCTCCTGATCAGAACGCGCATTGAAAGGCTTTTGGCACTTCAGAAAAAGGCTGAAATATGGATTTACAGCGGAAAACTTGAGGAGGCGACACACTGCAGTTTGAGAATTTGCAAGTGCGGAAAAAATACCCAGAAGGGCTTGAAAGATCAGGAGTGATTTGTGACAGGGGACGGCCAGTCAAAACGCATTCCCAAGACAGGATGAGCCTAAGTCTGGCTGAAATAAATCACTGCTGGCTTTCATCTAATTTACACTCATTACTAGCTAACCACATAAGCACATACTGCCTGAGTTTTTAATATTTATTTAAATAAAAATAATATGTATTTAATTACACACACATGCACATGCAGGCATTTTCAGGAGTTTAAACCTCTTCATACCTTTTCTGCACCTGGGTTTACCATACAATCCAAGTTAACTGAGCTGACTTTGGTATTGCTCAAAGTGGTTCCAGTTGAAATTCTGTTTGTGCACAATAAACCTAAAAGAGAAGATAAGTATAATATAAATATATATGTATTTATCCAGTTTAGGCTTTCATAGCAACAGCTGCTTTGGCCTTTTGTTCTATTACTATGCATGTATACCACTTCAGGAGATATATTGTGAACAGAGCTGAAGAAACAGAAAAATAATAGTAGTCCTAAAACATGCAAACGTAAGTCAGCTACCAAGTAAGAACGCAAATAGAGATGACACATGAGAAAGGTCAATTCATGGGTAAAGGAGCACAAAGAAGTTTTTATTTCTCCCAGTACTGCCTCAGGTAATCATTCTTGCGAAACTGACAATACTGAACATAACGAGAACATTTAAGGTACAACAGCTTCTTTCAGTCACAGCTGAAAAAGATATCACCAATAAATGGAAGCTAATCCTGAACAATTCTTCTTTTAGTGCCATTAAAAATGTGAGTCCCAACTTACGGATGCACATGGACAAGTCATGAGAAAGAACAGGTTACTTTCTGGAAATCAGAAGCCCCCCTCCAAATTACATTGTCTTAAAAATATCAGATGGAATATTATAATCTCTTCTAGTGAGTGAATATAGTCTCCATAAATTTAAAAAAATGGGTACAAGAAAGATTAGTTGAATGAAGTATTTCAGCCATAAAGAAAACAGATAAACGCATTTCTGAAAACTTATGTTTATCAGCTGACAGAGATTATTGCATCTCTTGGATACTGCCCAACTTCAACAGCCATAATTCTATTATATATTGGATAACATCATCTTCAAAAAACTGGACTAATTGAGCTGCCTGTGACAAAAACTACGCTTGAATTTGTTTTTTATTTAAAATTAACAGAGGTTTTGTTTTAATTGATTATTAATGTCTCATTATTAACACAGCTAGAGGATGCTTATTGTTTATTAAATAAAGACTACTCTTGTTTGTTAGTGGGCATTTCCTTAGCACTCAGCCATAGTAGCAAGACAAAGAAAGCTTGGTGGATGCAGGTCAAAGAAACTGTGTTAACAAACTGACCTTCCATGAAAACAGGAATCACAACAACTATAACTGGAACTGATACCCTATGCTCATTTACATACCTACACACAAAAAAGTACTACCTACCTACCCACCCAAAATGAGCCTCTCTGCAAGAGCTTCCCTGCATGAAGTTTCCCAGGCAGACCTGACCCTCACTGGGGGACCTGGTTGACTCAAGATTTAGTGATGTAGAGCATCTTTGAAATGAGACGGTTTTTTCCCCCCCATTATCATTTAGCCCCACTTCTGGGAGTGGTGTGGTGACTGCCACACCAGTAGCACCTCACGTAATATATTACGGGCACATGCACAGGAAAGGTTTGTAAGGAAGGCATAGACCTGTTAAAGAGGGTGCCCATTAATACGATCAGAGGGCCTGAATACTTCTCCTGTGAAGAAACTACAATGAGGGAGGTGAGACACTGTGACAGATTGCCCAGGAAAGCTGTGCATGCCTTATCATTGAAAGTGCTCAAGGCCAGGTTGTACAGGACTTTGAGCAATCTGCTCTAGTGAAAGATGTCCCTGCCCATGGCAGGGAGGCTGGACTAGGTGACCCTTAAAGGTGCCTTCCAACCCAAACCATTCTGTGATTCTATATATTTGCTTCACTATCTGGAATTCTGTAATAACTTGTAATATATGTATACTTGCTTTACTCTTGCAATATATATACACACATTTACTTTCCTCACAGTAATTTTGTAGTGACTTATAGTGTGTGCATATTTCTTTTTACTAATAATAGCTTTGTAGTAATAGAAATTCCGAGACTCTCAGACCTCTGTGTGTTTATGTATTGTGGAAACTTGAGAACCCCACAGTCATGATCTATACATACACATGGGCTGGATAGCCCTCCTAGGTCATGACCACCACAGCTACACTTCATTAACTGAGTTTAGAGTTCTGTGGCAAGAGTAGTCACCTTGCTCTGTAAGCTGTCCATTTTCTGTCAAAGGAAGAGAGGACATCTGCTTATCAAGACTCTCCATTTCTTTCCTCATTTGTGCAACAGCAGCCCGAAGACTGGCATTCTGCTCCTGAAGCCTTTTCATTTCCAAGGTAGGAATATTTTTGCTTAGAGAAGTTTTATCATCATACTGAAGTATCTGTAAAATAACAATACAACACATTTCATTAATGAGCAACACATTTTCTCCACACCATCACACAGAGATCCTAGTACTTTCAATCCATGAACAGACTTGGGAGAAAAGAACTACAGAAAGAGAAAAATGACATCTGGTTATTCTGGGGATTTGTCAGGGGAAAAAAGTGGTATGTAGAGAACCTGAGATATAGAAGAAGGCATAAATGGGGAGGAGAATAGCCACAGAGATAGCTCTGTCTTATCACTGCTGTTCTTTGAAGTGTGCCATCTCTAGCTCTTCCATGTGTGGGTAACCCATCTCCTTAAAGAACTTACTGGTTCAACAGCAGTCACTTTTCTGACCAGCCAAATTCTTGAAAGTGTCATTGGAGATAATTTGTTCACAAGAGCATGAAGAAGCTGGATATACTTTGCTAAACTGGAAAAGAGGAAGGAGTGCATGGATTACACCTAGACAACCTGAACAATGGAGAACAGGTAGAAAACCTCTCAGCACTTAAGATTTAAGATAAGTAGCAGTATCTTCTGTTTGTACTTTAGTTACAGGTAAGCTAACAGTGAACAATGCAAAAGGAACATCTATCAGATAACAATTGAAGCTCTGCCTTCACAAAGGCTTTGAAGCCTGACTTTTGGAATTGTACTTGATACAAATATGAATTGATGAGCAAATGTCATTCTTAGATTTCCAGAACTGAAGAAACTGACAAAAGCAAAGTTGCCAAAACTGGTTTAACTTCTGTAAAAAACCTGACTGATATTAGTAAAATACCAGCAGCTTGCTTATTTCCGAGTAATCCCAGAATAATTCAATTTCTGAAATTTTTGAGTGGGAATTGCTCAGCATTTTCTCCACAGGCTGCATGCAACCTTACAGATTATTCTAAAGATTTAGTTTGGAAAGGTAGTCCTGTGTGAATAAAATGATGGTGTAATCAGGACTAGAAATGTGAAACATTCTAGACCACAAAGTGTAAGAACTGCTTTACTCTGTTACACCAAAGGTTGCTAGTTCCAGAATCCAATTCTTGTCAACAGTCAGCAACATATGTTTAGAAAAAAAAAAAAGACAAATATGGAAAAGCTTCCCCTCATGTGCCTCTTCAATTTCCAAATTCACAATTTTGGGGGAGGGAAGGAAAAGGAAAACCAGATGCAACAGCAACAACAAACCAAAACCAACCAACCAAAACCAACAAAAACACACCAAACCAAAAAAAGACCCCCCAAAACCCCACAAACCCAAACACAGACATTGATTGGAGAACACGTTTCCTGGTGTTTCTACCCAGGATTTCCTTGAAATTCTAGTACAATCATCAGGAAGAAGTTTTAGTAGGATCCATGGGATATAAGGACAAGGATACTAGGGTGCCGATATTATTTACCTCTTCTCTTTCTTCATTCAGAGTGTGACTGCAAACACATTTAAAGACGTTACATCAGACTGATGACAGTGTATTATAACTGTGGTTTCATCCAAACAGAGAATGCAGAATTTAGATTCTACCTCTGTAAAATCCTCTGTAGCTGATGGAAACATTTGTCATCAGCCATTTAAGAAATGCAGATACTATTTGGTACAAGAGTATTAGAAAGCCCTGCAATTGTAGACTACACATTCCTACAGTCACTAAATGAATCTTGATTCACAGACAGTCCAGACCAGGTGTTTCTGGAATATTTGTATTGAGTGCTGCTAATTCACGTTTCTGAGCCTCAAAAAATGTTTCACTGTTTTCAACCCTAACCTTAAATTGTGCAAAGCAGCAGTTCTGCCTTTTGAGAGGGAAAGGCAACCCGTAAGGCCTTGCACATAAGACAAGTCAGAAAAACACTTCAGTGTCAGTATTTATGCCTCGCACAGACTCAAACATTACTCCTTTTTGATCTCCTCCGTCATTCTACACTTCCTTCAGTCTCCTTATTTCCCCAGTCATAAGTCTGGTCTGTGAGTGCGATGTGAAAGCATGATCTAAACATAATAGCCTTCAAATTAAATTTCCCTGTCACAAAGACAACACCTGCCCTACAGCCTCTTTCTCCTGTGGCTCTTCCTGCCCTAACAGTAGAAGGTATGCATAAGATGAGGCTAATGTCTATTCTGCTTTCATAATTTCTCTGAGGCTGTTAAGGTGAAGAAAAGGGACAGAGACTGAAAAGGCATGAAGGGAAAGGCACCAGTAGGTATCAAATCACTCAGGGTTTTTCTGGAGCCCAGAACTTCATCTCAACCTGCAACATACAAATTAATTACCACAGTTTCAATCAGAAATACAGCAGTTCCAGACTTTTGCCAGTGGAAAAGGGTCTAGACAGAACACCACATAAGCATTCAGAACTACTGCAAGTAATCTTTTATCTGTGCACTTGTATGATATTATAAGCATGCTCCAGTGAGGCAGACAAGGCCCAAGTCATACTCAAAATCATTTACAAGCAAGATTTTCCAGGCTGGTGTGTGTCACATCGCCGTTAATTAAAGTCAAGAATGACTACTGCAATATTTGTTGTATCCTCATGGGGTCTCAAATCAATCTGAGGAAAGGGCCTTTATGCTGAAGATACTGTACTAGGGTGTATTTAAACTATTCTTGCCTCAATCATCTGAATCAGAGGGTAGCTAACAAATGATTCCTTCTTTAAGAAGGCTCACTGACACAATTTTTATCAATTTTAAACTTTCAATCACTTTCCCCCTTTGTTTACAATTAATTTTGTACAGAAAATTTAAGATGAAAGGTTCTAGTTCCCAATAATTTCTCTGGCATTTATTTGTTTTTTAAACAAGAGCCCTTCACATAAAACAGAGACAAAAATAATTCTGCTGTGATGGGTACTGCTTATCCTACAGGCTAAAAGTACAAAACAGAGAGTATATTACCAACAGAAAGAAAAGTGTGAAAATGGAAACGAAGTCTTGCCAACAAGAACAGTCAGTTACAGTGGAAGAAATCAGTGAATGTGAACAGTAAAAGAACCCCTTCCCAGTTCTGGTTCTCTCGGTACTTGAGCAATCAACCTACAATCAGTCTAGTTTGAAATTGAAGTGGAAAACCAACTTGCTCTATGGTAAGATTTTGCAAGCACTCTGCTTTTGTCTAATTATTTTATAAAAATATTTACACAAAGTATCCTGAATACATCACTTTCTGTGTTCAGAAACCACTAGGCTTGCTTAACACTGCTTTTTCTTATCAGCAAGCTCTGATAATACACTCTTAACTGCTTGCTGTTGAGCATCTGCAGCTGCCCAGAAGGGCACGCTACAGCGCATTCTACTTTCATTCCTTTACAAAGGACAATTTTCTACTCGCAATGCCTTATCCTTCAGCACGGTTTCAAACCAGCATTATGATTGCAATTTTGAATGGTTCTCTTTTAATATATGTATTTTAATAAGTAGCAATCAAAGAAAAACTATTTTGTGACACTGAAATAAAAGGCATTATTTTAAACAGCTGGTAAATTACTGTTTTAAAGCATTGCCTTGAAAGTTTAACTACAATTTTAAAATCTACCCTGAATTGCAACTAACACAGACCCTTGTGAACTTTCCAGAAATTAATTCTTTCCATTCTGATGTGCCATGGTGGTACAGTACATTTTTGTTTTGGAGCAACTGTACATACAGCTCCTTTTGCCATTGAGTAATGGATCAGAGCCATAATGAAGCCTATGACACCTAATCTATGCGTATTCCAGACTAGATATGTCTGTATTTTGAATTAAACATATGAAACAGATGAACTGCTTAAAAAAAAGTGCAATGGAAAAATGCCCCATGAAGTTGTCAGAATGAATTCACCTAATTCAAGACAGTGTCGACCCTGTTTCCTTCAGGTAAAAATACCGTGATTAAACAATGCTTGCATTGTCAGCTCTCTCTCAACAGTCAAAGCAGAAAGAATAGTCTTCATGCAAGTTGCAGGCTTTTTTTCTGTAGATCAGCTTCAAAGTAGGATGGAAGAAAAGCAGAGGACATCACTACAAAGGGTATGGAGAGGAGGGAGGGGACAAAGGGAGCAAGAGAAAGAAAAATCGAAGAAAAAATAGGGACAGGGACTTAAAGCACATCCATTTGGTTCTGTCAAAAACTCTTCATGGAAAAGTAACTTGGCTTTGTTGTCTCATCTTCTGTATGAGATACAGACAATGCTGATTCATCTCTCAGATGTGTTCCTATCCTACACCCATTGATGCCTATCAATATTTTTTGGAAGATGATGGTAAAATAAAACACCAGAGTAAATGCATTCTATACTTTGGAAACAAGTGCTTTCTCTGTGCCAAGGAGTTTACTAGGCAACTGGTCATTGAGAATAATGGTTAGCCCATTGTATAACAGCCTCTAAGCAATAAACATGTTTCATTTTTCAGAAACAGAAGCTTGTACACTTCACAAAATAGGATTCCCCCCCTCCCCCCTTACAAAAATACTCTTGAGTTTTCCAGGACTAATATTGTTCCCTTGACAGAATCCAAGCTGCGCTGTGATCTGAAACTCTTTTTGGCTGTGGGCCACTCTAAAAGAAATCTTTCTTCTGCTACAATGCCAAGAGAAAAGCAGTGGCATCTCTCAAGCCAACCTGACTGTTACAAGGGCTAAAAGGCCACTATTAGAGACTGTCCATTAAAATTAATCTGGTCTCTCATGAAATATATTTGCTGAACTGCTGTACACAATACAGATTACCATTTTACAGATTTTTGAAAGAAAATTGAGGTAATGCCTCCCCTGAAGAACACCATGGTGAGAAAATCTCCATATCTCTCTATGCAACAGATGGTTCCTAAAAAACATTAACGTGAAATTCTCACCTGCTCTCTTGCTGAAGACAGGCTTTGTGTTAGATCCTCTGATTTCTGATACCAATTACTTTCTGCATTCTCGCAGAGGTGCTGCCAGTCCAGTTCTGCCTGCATTTTATTCTGCTCCAGTATCCATTCTTGCTCAGCTACCAGAGACATTTGTTTATACCTACAATACACAGGGAGAAGCTGTTGATTGCAGCAGGATAAATACTGAGGATGTTTTGAGTTTGATTTTTTGTTTTGTTTTAAATCTCAGCCTTGTTTACTGTCCTCATCTTCTTTCCTTGTTCTATTTTCCAAATCTATTACATTCTACTGTAAGTATTTTACTAGACAAAAGCATCTTAATTGCTTAGAGCTCAGCAGTCTCCTAGGGTCCATCTCTGTGGGTATTTAGAATCACCTTTGGAGGTCACCTCAGCAAAGCTGGCGTAAACTGCTCAACACCAGTACTGCTCTCAGCAATACCATCCACAGCATGTTTCCCATTTGCTAATAATGGAAATGGGATACAAAAGAGCTAGGAATTTAAGTTGTTGGATTGTCAGGGTAAAAATCCTAAGCTCAAAGGCTGCTGCACACACATACATTGAAAACACAACTAGGAAAGAGAGATCAGAGATGCACAAAATGAGAGAAACCTCATATACAAAATTTAAGAGCTTTCAAGACCAGTTTCAACACAAGCTGAGCTTTCAAAACATGAAGCTGTCAAGACTTCAGGGAGCTCATAAGCTTGATTGTAAATGTCATTTTAGACAAAGCTTTAAACAAAGCTTTAGTCATCTTTACTATTCTTCATCCTTACGGAATTTGGCCAGCTGTGCCCTCAACTTCTCTTCCTGCCCATGCATTGATTGATTTTGGAATTCTTTAGAGGCAGACTCCTAAGAAATCTCAATCAGATGAGAATCCTGACCTGGTTTTAGCACCACAACTTGTTTTTGAAGCCTACACACAAGAACAACCACCCTCCCATGTTAATATATATTTGCTTAAGACAATTAACAAAATATGTGATGCAATCTTGAACATAAAACTACCCAATAACTTTTTTTAATTAGGAGCTCAGAGGGACTTTTTCATGAGCCAAATGCATACTGTAAACCAGTATTTCCAGTCATACAAAATGCAGAAATTCTTTAGTTTCCAGTCGTCTTCTTCAACTGGCAGCTGTCACTTTCCAGGCTGGCTATGAAAGAAGTCCTTCTGGTCTGTTGTTCCCAAATACTTTTCCACATGATCTCATTTTCTTGTTAAGCCCTAAGGAGAGGTTTCTTGATTACGTCAATCATAAAACTAATGTTTATATGCATACATCGAAATTTTGCCACAAATTTTGCTGCAGTAATATACATAGAACATACAACAGCCTGAGTTGGAAAGATCATCTGGTCCAACCTTTCATGGTAAAGGAGCCTAGATGAGATTATCTAGTACCCTGTCCAATCATACCTTGAAAACCTCTAGTGGTGAGGACTTTTCCCTGTCCCTACAACAATGGTTCCAGCAATAATTGTTCTCATTGTAAAAATCTTTTTTACATTGAGATGAAACCTCTCCCAGCGCAACTTGTACCCCTGGCCTCTTGTCTTCTCCATGGGGCTCCTTGTGAAGGGAGATCCTCCATCCTCTTTGTAGCATACTAGAAAACTGCAAAGTCCCCTCAAGCCTTCTCCTGGAAAAGACCCAATTCCTTTAGTCTTTCTTCACAGGGCAAGTTCTCTAGCCCTTCAATCACCTCTGTGGCCCTCTCCAGTCTGTCCATGTCTTTTCTCAATTGTGGGCACCAGAACTGACACAGTACTTCAGGTGTGGTATCTGTTTAACCATGAATTACTGTGAGCTTTTCACATAAATAAACTGGGCACAAAAATGGTATGATGTTCTCAATTTCTTTCATCACAGTTTATGAAACAAGATAAATCAGGTCACTTACATCCTAATGAGAGCATCCTTCTCTCTTAAGCAAGCACTGTGACTCCATTCTCTTCTGCAAAGCAAGATTTCCAGACTTTTATGTCTCATCTGCAGCTTCTATTGCCACTATTTAGCTGGACTTAAGACCAATGCTGAATCTTTCTTATGACACTGTAGAGTTTAACTCCAATTTACCACATAACTGACGCTGTGATTAGCACAAAGAACATCATCATCTCACCTAATTATAGGATCAGGTAATCCTAAAAATAAAGTTGGCTTGTTTTGGGTTAAGATGACTCATAAAGAAGCCATTTTAACAGGTAATCTACTCCATTTAACATATTCTTTTACCATATTGAAAATATTCTTCACAGTAATTGAAGAACTGAAAGAGAGCTATGTTAGGTGTTTCAAATAAGAGACTGTAGGAATCCATTGAGCACAAAATGCTGACTTGAATATTCAGTTTTCACTTACAGATTAATTTCCTGAGCATGCACTCACACAAAAAAAACAGGTTTAAAATAAGACAGAAGTGTATGTTAAAAGAAATTAGCAAATTAGACTGAACAGTCTTGAGCTATAGATAAAACCCCCCAAATTATTTCAGCCTTTTTTGACACAACTTAAAAGTAAAATTTTAAATATAAACCAACAAACATTAACAGAAGTAAGCACTGGAACAGGCTTCCCAGGGCAGTGGTTGAGTCACCATCCCTGGAGGTACTTAAAAGATATTTAGATGTGGCACTTGCATACAATGGTTTAATGGAGGATTTGGCTCTGTTAGGTTTATGGTTGGACTCGATATTAAAGGTCTTTTCCAACCTAAATGATTTTAAGCTTCTGTATTTCACTGGAGATAAAGTGACAAGAGGGCTGCTAGGAAATAGGAAGCTATGGGAAAGACTTCCTCACACACACACTCATGTAAACAATTAAAAGTAATTTTAATATCAAATACATTTTTACACAAAAGCAAAGGAAAGCAGGCTTCATTATTCTTTAACGTTTAGAATACAGAGAGGTATAAAGCTCCTCCTAAAATATCACAGTCGGAAGGTCGAATTTCATTCTTAGTCTGATTATCTTTTTTGATGAAAGGACAGCAATATAAGAGGCAGAAGTGTGTGTGAGGAAGCCTTGTAATGAGGAGAATAACAAGAAACATTTACCCAGCTCACTGAAACTGCCTCCGCTCCCTAATGCTGACCTCTCCTGCAGTTCCACGGCTAACAAATATAGCCATGTGCTGTCTACAGAAAACGATTTTACACAATATCAGATTACAAAACACGTTCTTAAGAGTTCCTCACAAGGGACAGCTGCCAGGCAAACAAACCAAGAGCTACTATCCAAGCAGTGCGTAATTTTCTAAGTTGTCATTTCAAATCCCATCAACTTATGAAAAAAAAAAAGAAAAAAACCTAAAAGCTTATGTAACTACAACAGTGTCAAACCAGAATTGCTAGATGGCTCTGCAGCAACACAACACTGTGTGTCCATATTTTTATACCCCTTTCTAACAAGCAAGATCTCCTTCCAGTTCATGGATATTCCTCTCCATCTGATGTTTCAGGTTCACACACTCCTGATGCTGATGATCTATGTGACTATTCCTAGAACAAAACCAGAACACATTAAAGAGCATCTCTGGTGACCTAATGAGGCATCCATATGTAATTTTTTTAACAGTAAGACATAACTGTAAATACAAGATGCTGTAATTCCCTAAAGAAAGTCGCCATCAAAATTTTTCTCATAAGTCATTTGAAACCAATTATAACAATTGTGACTTATCAATAATATATGCAACTTTTGAAGTTGCTGGAGGATCTGTTGCAAAGGATTGCAAGACTTCCACTCAACAGAGTTCCTCTTCTCCACAGTTTCTGTTACATAAGAAATGGCAAAACAAAGGCTGGCCAGCAGAAATCTGATATTTTAGATACATTTAAAAATAGAAGCAGCTCATATCTTTTCCTCTCCTCCTCTTCCTAGTATTTGCTACTAACAAAAAATGTTTCTCTGAGATACAGTGGAAAAATACTAGTAAGGCCAATATTTCAAACAAATACAAAAAGCCAATACTGCTACTGTGACCAGTAAGTTCTCTAATGATACCCAGAATCGTTTCAAGCTCTGGGTTCATCCCTGCAAGACTCGACAGGCTTGGTATAGTCTGGTAGGTGGCCAAACAGACGTGGATTGATATTGTGTAGTTCTGCAACCTTCTAATTACTTTCAACTCTATATTGCAGTTATTTTTGGTAGCTGAATGACCACAGCACTTGGTTGATCATATAACAAATATGTAAACAGAACTGCAAACTAGAACTGGATAGTCATAAAAAGCTAAATGCATATTTACTTTCATATTCTGCTATGATTTTGCTTTTAAATTTACACTTCACCTGACTCAATTCAAATTCTGTAGCCAACACTTGGATATATAAATAAAGTAACAGAAGCAGCATCTCTGCATAGTCCAGACAGGCACTTTTATACCTCCCTTGTTCATCCCACAACTTCTTAGGGCAAGTCAGATCAGAAGAGTAGTCGCTGTACTGCTCAGTGATTAGTACCCAGCTTACCCTAGCAAAAGGGCAATGCTAGGCATAGAAGACTCAAAATCCTCCATCCATTCCCAAAAGACATGCTTCATATAAAATTCCTGAAGTGGCTTTAGAATTTGAATACGTTCCAGAACTACAGTAACATAAATCAGTCAGTGATCTTTGAGGAATTCCAGGTTCACTTCCAGATCACTCCTAATAACTAAAAAAACTTATTTAAAACTTATCTAGTCATCTCCACATTACAAATGCAGTTTGACTCAAATACTTTACAGCAATTAACATTTTAAACAGGATAATCCCCAAGACACTGTTTACAGCTGAAGACAATAGTTCTATCAAACAAGAATGATGTGTGGAAAGAAATAATCTTTTATTCTCTGCTCCCCACAAGATTTGGAAGTCTATACAGAATAATAAAAATTAGTGAGAGTGGCCAAGCTAAACAAGGGCATTGCTTTAGCTATCTTAATATTATAATTGGTTTTATTGGTCATAAATCTTGGTCCCATGATAGATATGCCCCAACAGACTTCTTTGTTTCACAGAGGCCTACCAGAGAAGGTGGGATAAAAGGCATTTAAGAGTGCACAAACCCAACTCCCATTTTAAGATTAGCTTGCAACAGCTTAAAATAGCTGAAAGGCTGAACCATTTGTGTTGAATCCACAGTACAACATAGCAACTGATGTCTAATAACCTTAGACAATATTATTGACAATGGTTGATACCATTATCATTTGTCTCCTCACATACATAGAAGGAAAGTGCATCTTGATTTAACACACAGGAGACACACAATACTTTCAGATTCATCTCACTTCCCAGAGGTGTTCAGTGCCCAAGGAAAAAGCATTCTTTTTCTGACAAATCCTTTTCTGCTCCCCACACTGTGTTTCCCTTATGCCATCTCCATCCAGTCATACTGTCCCTCCAACTACTACATAAATTACGTAGGGACAAGCTGCACGTTTAGGAGCATCCTCACTTTCACATAATGCTATCATATCTCTAACAGGTTACCAGAAATCACACAAGTCATTGTGAAACCAAGATACAGAAGGTGCAAAGACAGCCTAAGTCACATCTGTTAGCCCTCACTCTGTTCATGTTCTAGGTGTTCCTCTGTCAGAATAGATAACCAGACCTCCATGCTCAAAGTGCTCTTTATTGTATGAATGATTTTACCACACCATTCCAATCCAAACCTCTCCCAGAGAAGCTAAACTTCTCTTTTCCTGAACGCAATTCTAAGGAAGTCACATCTCACCTACAAAACTGTTCCAACTCTTAATTAATGTTCTTCAACATGTTGTATTGTCAGCAGCAATAACAAAATTAAGGTTTTTTGTTTCTTTCCTTGACAAGCATTTGCTCCACTTTAACCAGCTGTACTCTAGCACCACTAGTCTCTGCCTCTTAGCATTTTCAGATGTTTTCATTTGAGTAACTGTGATATCATACTGTTCTAACTCTTCATTTCTCTCTTCAAAAATTCTTAGGGTATAGAAGAAAAGCCAAAAACCTTTCAATTTGATAAAATCTTTCATGCATGTCTTGGAGCTGCTTTTTGACATATTGCAGCATGTACACCAAGTAACAAACACCGCTAGAGACACAATGATATGATGGTCTTTCAATTCTGCTGGCCTAGATTTCACATTTATCCCTAAAGCAATAAAAAAAATAAAATTATTTTCATATTCTGCTTTCTGTTGGCAATCTTCAGATTGTGCTACTATGTAGAATATAGTGTAAGCAGAATAGTCTTCATTTGGGTAAGCAGATACAGATTTTTTTTTTTTTAAAGTCGGTGTCATGAACATTAAAGCCTCCTTACCTAGGAAATGAAACACTAAAAGATTTGTTCCCTCTGTATCTTCCTTTCAGCTACTGTTGCTTCAAATGCATCTGATGGCTACCAGTTCAAAAGATTAGATAAATCTTAAGTTCCCTCCTCCAACCCAATTGTAAATACATTAAAAATAAAAAACACCTACAAGATGTTTTCCGGACCCAAGGCACTGAAAGAAACTATGCTCAGTCTATACTCACTAAAGCATGAAAATATTTTTATAAGTGCTTTTTAAAAGCCTGACATATGTTTTATTAGCTAAAGTTAGCAGTACATTATTAGGCAAGACCTTTGCATGACGAACAAAAAACAAGACCGCAGCTCCAGCCTATTATGTCCTTGAAATCATCAAATTGAAATCACAAGTTTTCTTGAAAAGAGTTGGTTAAGAAAAATTATAGCTCTTTCACAATCTCTCTCTACAATTACCTTAAAATTAAAAGGCACCACACAGGTTCCTATGAAAACAACCCTCTTCTCTATCTCCATATTATCTCAATTAAATTAACAGCACTCGTAAATTGAATGTGGTATCTTGAGGTGAGTTTGGGTTACATATAACACAATTCATTTTATATAAAAATATGAACGAATACACCTTTCTGTAATTTTAAAATACTGCCTTCCAGAGAGCTGTATTTCCTAGAAATGCAATTTAATAGGGGAGAAGGGAACATTTTGCCTTTGATAGCAGCATTTATAATTTCACATTAGTTTTAATAACAGCCATAATGGAAATAGCAGTATAATTTTAAATATAAATTGCACCAATTGCCTGGATGTCTTGCAGTCAAAAGAACAGTAAACTTACATAGAACATCAACAGATGATTTAGGAAAGAGTGTACGTACAAGCAAGACACAACATCTTACAACAAGCACAGTTTACTCATACAACCTAAACAGTAAAAATACTCAATAATGTCCAACCACTTACTTAAAGCCTACCCAGAAAGAGGCAATTCAGTGGAGCTTTTGCAGCTGTTACTAAGATGCTACTTCAACAAGAAGTCAGATGCCATGTTTGAGACAGTTACTTTTCAACCAAATAAGGAAAACAAGGTGATGCGGAAGCACATTTCAAAGTAACAAGAGCTTTCAAACTTCCATACAATCCCTCTTTGTAAGAGGTGTAAAGCTTTAAAACGTTGTTTAAAGTATAAAGAAGCTGTACTTGCTTCTCTCTTCCTTGCTATCTTTATAACATACCCTTACTGTATCAAGAGTAAGACGAGTAATACATGCATGACAGACTAACAGAGCTAATAAACCAAGACTGCTTCTCTTCTTTTCAAAACTACAGAAAAGAAAATGCCACATAGCCAGTATCAGTTAAGTATCTCTAGCTACAACTGTCTTCCTTGATGATTCCTACCACATGAGTACTAGCACAGCCGTTTCACTCTGTGCTGCATGTCAAGCAATCAGCATAGACACACTAGTTGTGCCAATCTTGTCAACATAGTTCCAACAAGAAACATCAAGTTCCAAGTTTACATCACTTATGTAGTATCTCCTTCTTTACTGCTAGTAGCTGGTTTGTTATTTACTTTACAAGTTAAGTTGGCCATATAAACAGCAAATATACACTATTACATAACCCAACTGGAATAGATAAAATATAGTAGAACTGGGGGATAGGATAATGAGTAATAACATACATGAGAAACCTGGGATGTCAGATACTGAGCAGTGACACACCTCTGGCAAAGTACAGGGCAGGCTATGCTGTGGGTTACATGACAGCTTAGCATTATGCAGCACAGTCAGAAGAGAAGGAGGCATAAGTTACCGCCTAAGTAAAATATAGGGTATGGTGAGAAGAAACGATTGCTCCTGGGACTGAGAAATGGGCACATATTCTACAGAGGGGTCAGGAATGTAAAATGAGGGCAATGCACCATGAGGAACAAGGACACTGAGTCCCTAGAGCAAGTATCCTCAGGGAGGACAGGAAGAGACAGACAAATGGATGAAGGCAATGCTACCAGAAAGCTAGGGATCAAGTATCCCGCAGGACTAGAGGCTTGTACACTTGGAGGGCACAGAGGAACATAAAGATGTAATCAAGTGGGAGTGAAAGAAAACACTGCCAGTGGCAGCCAGCAGATCCCAGTAGGAGGGTGGGAAGTCACACTGAGGGCCCAGAGGGTCAGATGCTCTGAGGCAGAAGAACAGATGGCAGGCAGGCTGTCAAGGTCAAGTCTCTTAGTTCTCAGTAGAGAGGAGCACACAGTAGCACAAGGTAATGCTTGGGACTCAGAGGCAGCACACAGAGGGCACTATGTAGAAGGGTGCAGCAAAGAAGCTGGTCCCCAGAGAGAGAAAAGGGCGGAAGGTGCACGGGTGCCGCATCGGGAGCTCTGAAGGACAAGCT